TACAGTGATTTAGGACAATGTATAGTTTGATTCTTTTGTTAATTTGCAACACACATCTGTAAATCAGGTCTGTTGTAGCCACCCTCACTTCCTAGTAAATTCCTCCACTTACTTTGAAGCTGCAGTCCTAACCAAACAGTACCACAATAAAGGGAAAAACACAGAAAAGTGAGCAGAGTAGAATGCGGTGAATCTCTTGCTACAGTGATTTAGGACAATGTATAGTTTGATTCTTTTGTTAATTTGCAACACACATCTGTAAATCAGGTCTGTTGTAGCCACCCTCACTTCCTAGTAAATTCCTCCACTTACTTTGAAGCTGCAGTCCTAACCAAACAGTACCACAATAAAGGGAAAAACACAGAAAAGTGAGCAGAGTAGAATGCGGTGAATCTCTTGCTAATTAGGCCTCTCCTACTGATGGCCTGTGTTAAACTCAGTGGCTGGAGAATTACCCGAACAATCAGAGTTTTAGTAGTAATTTCATTAATTCAAGACATGCGGTGCATGGTTTACCCTACTTTTCCCTTATTTGTCTAAAATATGAGAGTCCTTCTCCACAAGCGTTTCCTGAGTACATTCTTGAGTCTAAGCCCATAAAAACGGCCTTGTGTTTATGAAAACTGGAGCTGTATGTTGCATAATACCTTTCTGGGTGCTTTGGTCTGCTCTACAGAGATGAAATATGAACTTGTGGGTGTCATGTATTCTGTGATCTCTGCTGAAGATTTGTTTCCCTGTTTCTCTAGTGTCCCTACCCAGTAATGGTGACTAATGTGCCTTTCAGCAGATGGTTTTAGAAAGGAAATGCCAAAGCGTGTGGGGCTGTCGCATACATTGCTTGCACTACTAACGTCCTGACAATACAGCTTCAGAGCAGTTAACAAACATTCATCTATTCATCAAATTGCTGTTCCTGTTCAATGCCAGTTTGGAATAAGGAAGGTGAAATCCACTTGTGGGGATTCTGGTGAAATCTATAGTATCCATGTCTCACCTTTTAACTTTCTTTTCACCCTTTTTGCATGATTGCCACTTAGGGACATCAGGGTTATTTTCAACAAATGTGCACCCTTTTTTGTTTGTTTGTTTGTTTGTTTGTTTGTTTTTAAGAAAGCATCAAGAACAGCCAGGTGTACTCAACACCCCGTTCCATACCAGTATGTGGGATGGGAAGGGGAAAGCACTTCATCAGGGCCCTGCAGGGGATGGGAGAAAATATGTGCTCTTTAAAACGATCATCTTCCCTGCATTATATGGGGGAGGAGGGAGGAAGAAGGGGGCAGTTTTGTCACAGAACAGAACAAACCTGAAATACTTGATCTATGGGGATTTTGCTAAGGTTAACCATTCTCTTGGTGTGCCGTAAGCAAGGCCTCTAAGGTATGTGAGAGCCAGCTCTGGCAGGTAGGACTCCTGGGTTCTGTTCTGAGCTTTGTCCTTGACTGCTCAGGGCATGTTTTCATTATTGTAAAACACCCACAGCTGGCTGGGATCAGCTAACTTCATCTGGGAGTGTGGAATTATAAAACTGCTTGTCTAGATGTTTGGGCTAAGGGACTTGCCACACTCACAGGGTCTCAGAGCCTGGTTTCGGCCCAAACACCAACAACTACACTGCAGTGTTATAGCCTCACAATCTAAGTCCCTCCAGGTTGAGTCTGCCATTAGTCTCCATTTAGCTATCTATAGCTGTCCCTTGGTTGCAGTTATAGAAAATCTGCCTCACTGTCTCTGTGCATGTGTGTTTTTGGAGTGGCGCAGGTGATCAAGGTATGCTAGCAGAACCAAAAGTGCCGACAGGATTCCAGGAAAAGGAGTAGGGGCAGAAAACCAAAATCTGAGTTGAATTTGATGGTGGGAATTGTTTGTTTTGCTTCAACTTCCGCTAACCCACAGTCAGTGGCTTGGGGGCTGAAAGATCCACTGAGCTTCTTCCCGCCTGATCCCACCACATGCCCTTATAGGAATGTGGAGGGAGATGGAGATACAGACACAGAGGGAATTTCCTGGAGAAGTACAGCTTGCTGCTGTTCTAGCTGCCAGCTCAAGCAGCAAGGTGAGAGATTTGGGAGCCTCTCAATGGGATGCATGTGATACGCTTCATGGAAACACTCCTCTATGCAGAGCTGCAGCAGGTTCTACCACCTTCTGCCCAAGTCTTTCCCTTCCTGCTGCTCAGTTGTACTCTGCTGTATCTCTTCCAGGCTGGATTTTGATCGACCGTTGTGGTAAACACTTTGGGACAATATTAAATTACTTGCGTGATGGGGCCGTGCCTCTTCCTGAGAGTCGGAGAGAGATTGAAGAGCTGCTGGCTGAGGCAAAGTACTACCTGGTTCAGGGTCTGGTGGATGAGTGCCAGGCAGCTCTCCAGGTAGGTGTGCAGTCTGTAGTGTGAGGCTAGTTAGACGCCTGGTCACCAGTCAGTGCCAGTGGCTTTGAGCTTATTCCATCAGTCAGCCTTTCCTTGTGCCCTATGATTATTTCCTTTGATTAATCCCAGCTTGAGCTCATCAATTCCTGCCCTGTTCTTGTAAGGGGTTAGGAAAGGCAACAAGTATTTTTCTGGATAAGTAGTTCTCTCCTCCTTCTCTCCCCACCCTCCGCCCATTGTGTAATGAACTTTAAACTTGGTGCCATGGGGTTCCCGGTGTATGTACATGTCAGAGATCAGCTCTGCTCATCTTACAAATAAAGATGGATAAAATTGCCAGCACCACAAATAGCCTTAGGATCTGAAAGTGAAGTTGTGCTTTTTCCTGTTCTCACACCACCAGTATAGGATTTCATTGGCCTGCTTTGTGGCCCTGACACATCCTTCTGCAGTGCTGATGGCAGAGAGGTGTAGTCAAAAGACATAAAGTGCTCTTCATGGTTGTATAGGGCCTTTTGCACTCATCTCCTCTTGTCCAAAGTCTTTGACAGTAGTGGAGTAGGTCTGTCAGAGCAGTGGGTCTTAGAGTTTACAACCTATTGAGACACAAGGGACAGTTAACTCCTCTGAACCTTTGTTTCAGGCTCCCTGGAGACTCAGGCAGATGTCATTACATCAGATCACATTTTCCATAACTCTGAGGGGGAGCAATGTTAGTCTGTAACTTTAAAAAAAAAAATTCTGTGGCACCTTAAATATGAACAAAAAAAAATGGAGTGAGAGCAAACAAACAAGAGCTTTCGTGGGCAAAACCCACTTTCTCAGATTACAGTGGAGGAAAAAAAAGGGGGGGGACTGCAGAAGTGGGTTTTGCCCAAGAAAGCTCATGATTTTATATGTAGAGAGTAAGTATCTAAGTTGCTACAGGACTACTTGTTTTTCCACAAGTGAGCTAGAAACCCTATTTAATGAAAAAGTTGGGCATCTGGTGTCACTGACCTGAGGATGGGCCTAGCTCCCCAAAGCACACCAGCAACTGTTTTTTATACCTCTTCCCCTCACTTGATGAGGGTAAGAAAGTGAAGCTGTACCTTAGCATGCCTACACAAAGAAACATAGCTGTCGCATGGGGTCAGCTCCATTGCTGTAGCTAAGCCAAGCTTCAATATGTTGTTCAAAATCCCTTCAGTAGATTTGCACCCATCTGCTGCATTTGACTGTCTTGTTTCAGCAGAACAAAGATACATACGAACCATTCTGCAAAGTTCCAGTCATCACTTCTTCTAAGGAAGAGCAAAAACTTATAGCAACATCCAATAAGGTAAGAGGAAGCAGGCTGTGCTTGATCCCTGGGGAAAGTTTGCACATACCCTGTCTACATCAAGGCAGCAGCTCACTAGCCAGGATGACTGCTGACTTTGGAATGTAGTACACTAGTTTTCAGAATGGTGCATGCTCAGAACCCATTTGTTAAGTTGAGAGTTTGAAAATTGCACTTGAAAAAACTAGGCTGTAGAGAGACCATCTGGATGGAAAGTTAAGCAGCTTTTCAGCTAGGTCTTTAAATGGGTCTGAACTTTAAAAAATACATCTAACTGTAGGGGCCCTCTCTGCCTTACATTTTCAAATACAGGCAGAAGGGAGGAAAGATTGATTTAGGGCATCAATAGTGGGATATAGAGCTTTTCATCTGTTTTATCAGCCCAACAGTGACACATTTGCTGTGCATGAAACGTTAATGGCTCCAGTTCCTAGTAGACAGGTATGCATTTGGGATGTATGAGTTTAACCAGTTAACCTTAGTGGTCAAACTCCTGGCTCCCATGGAGCCAGTGGCCCACAAAGCGTTTAACTGTGTAACCAATTGAATTTCATTCAGTTACATGTTTATCTATATCTATTTATGGTTTTCCTGCCATGCGACAGAATGGCATCATCAGGCTCTCTGGCTGTGAAAGTGGCCAGAGAGGGGGGTGTTGGTGAGGGTAGCGAGCAGGGTGCAGCCCCCTAGTTGTTTTTTAAAAATGTTTACATCCCTAGGATACACTCCTGCTTACCCTTCCCATCCACCCCCAAAATGCCTCCACAGAAAGCATTAATATGTGGCCTCAGCAGAGGCATAAAGGACTGGAATGGCCATGGAGTGCCAATTACGATCTGATCACCACAGGCATATGTTGTGGGAGAAGCTTGTGCTGAACCTGTCCTGGGGACAAAGATCTGCCTCCAAGGCTGCTGTGCTAGCACCATTCATTAGCCCCAGGGTTACTTTCACAAGCAGGGGTATACCCACAGCACTGTCGCTTCATATTGCCCCTTCTCTGCCACGGGACTCGTCTGGAACGAATATTGCAGCCGTACTGTCACCTGTAAATTGTGCTTCCTGTGTCTGTTTTTTTCCAGCCTGCAGTAAAGTTGCTGTATAACAGAAGTAATAACAAATATTCCTATACCAGGTAAAACAGCTTCCATTACCAGTTATTAAATGTACAGTTTGAATGGGAGATTAACTGCCTGGAACCAGATTGAAGGAGAATGGGCTTTTCCCTTCCCTGGGTGTGTGTTGACATACGTAGTGAACACTTTTCCTGCTTGCCTTGTGGGGTTAGAAATGGCTGCTTCTCCAGTGGAAAGCAAAGTGCACGCTTGCAGCAAATAAAGGGCTTTCTCTTTAATACTCATTTGTGACCCAGGAGGATGCCCTGTATTCTGCATGGACTGCAGCATTCTTATCTCCAGAGTTGGCAATTGGCCATGAGTCAGAGGGCTGGACAGATCTGGTGGGGGTGGGTCTTATCTTCATCTGTGTCTGTATCTAACTCATGACTACACTGACACAATTCAGCTACTGCTGAACTTCACTAGATGGAATGGGTTAGAAAGAGATGGACTCTCGTGCCGTTACTCCCAGTGTTGAGGCTGTGTTACACACAGCACCTTCTCCACCGCAGGCCAGTCACCCTTCAGCTGCATTCTCCCCTAATGCAGTGAGTGATCCTTATGTTAGGAAGCCATCCTAACATAAGGATCATTCACTGCATTAGGGAGAATAAATAAATGGAGGCAGGGCTTTTAGGTCTCCAGCTGTGAGCTGCCTGAATCTCCTTAGCTGTTGAGTGACATTAACTTTGACTATTGGTGTGTTCTTGTGCAGTAATTCTGATGACAACATGCTGAAGAACATCGAGTTGTTTGATAAGCTGTCACTACGGTTTAATGGGAGAGTCCTTTTTATAAAGGATGTCATAGGAGATGAGATTTGCTGCTGGTCTTTCTATGGACAAGGGCGTAAAATTGCTGAAGTCTGCTGCACCTCCATTGTCTATGCTACTGAGAAGAAACAAACAAAGGTAGGGGTAAAATTCTTTTGTGCTGCCTAGTAGCTGATGGTACTAACTGTTTGGAAGCTACCCTTTGGTAGCTCTCCCCTATGTAGGGCATCCACTATACCTTCTAAAGAGGAGAGGACAGAATAGTCAAATAAATTATAAGCCTGGGGGGGAGGCAGGGAGAGTCTTGAGTTGTGTATTGCTTACCACAATAGGGTACTGACTTCCAGAGAAATACCTGATCTTTAAACGTACTCATGCACACAATCAGGTTCACTTATTTAACTATGTAAAAATACTGCATAAAATCTATGCTTCTGTGCTCCTACTGCTGGGCTTTCAGCTTCAAATATCCAACGACCAGTGTTCTGCCTTGAGAACCACAAAAAAGTATATGCAAAGGCAGATTCTTTCTGGGCAAGGTCAGATTGTACGTGAACAGACTGTTATTGGTCTTTAAGAGATCCCTTTAAAACCTTGTAACTTTTTTGCAAGATTTCACACTTCCTGCAGCATACTTCCATGACCAGAACACATGGGAGAGGGTTTTTGAAATACTGAAGGGTATATAACAACAAAAGGGCTAGCCTGAAGTTTAACCCTGCTTGGAATAAGATTGATTTGGCTTCTCTTAATTTAGCTGTTTTGGGCACACAGGTGGAGTTCCCAGAAGCCCGAATATATGAAGAGACATTGAACATTTTGCTTTATGAGGCTCAGGATGGACGAGGACCTGACAATGCGCTTCTGGAGGCTACAGGAGGGGCAGCAGGGCGCTCTCATCACCTGGATGAGGATGACGAGCGGGAGCGCATTGAACGCGTGCGAAGGATTCATATTAAGCGTCCAGATGACAGGGCACATCTTCATCAGTGAGGAGTGACAGCTGCAGACTGCCCCGCCTTGTTAGAGAATCTGTAGCCTGGCCCACTCCATTATTTACAGCTGTTGGCCAGGCAATTTATTTATATTCAGTGACATGGATAAAATTACATTTTGTACCAGAGTAGAATATTTTGGAGTATTTAACACAAAGTAGATCTATTAGAGGAATAAAGAAGGTATCAAGGGTCAGATCTGTGCATTTGAAGCAATGTTTGAATTTTTAGCACTCTTTACCCTGCAGTTTTGTGGTTAGAGAGGAGGAGTGCTGGCTTCCTTCTGGTTTTTTTTTTAGTATTTATTCTGCATTTTCTCTAGGACTTTCCAGCGATTGACCCACCTTCCTTACAGCCCCACACTTGCTCCATCCCTCCTGAACCTACTGTCCATGAGAAATGCTATTCCCTGCCACAGTGATGCTAAAGAAACTAATCTCATCTGCTACAGTACATTCTCCACTCTCCTCTCATCTGAATCTTTAAGGGAGAAAGGCAACTTAGATAGAAATGCTTCACTTCTGCTTTCATCAGACAAGGTTCTATGGATCCTGGCTTCCCCAAAGAACGCAATTGCTCTATATAGTTTGAAATAGACTTCAGTGGTACTGTTTGAGAACACTGCCCTGGTGCTAGATCTTGCTGGTTGGCAAGGACTCTAGTTTTGTTATTTAGTGCTGGCAGCTACTCAAACTCACTTTCAAAATTCAGAAAACATGGTAATATGAAATCATAGCATTTCCCTTGAGCTTCCTGGTAGTGGTTCAGTGAAACTAGTATGCTAGAGGATAGTGGAAAACCCTCAACATATTTATACTTTATGTTAATGGAGGGTTGGGAACAAGCTGTGTTGTGATACCATTTTCCCTTAGAGACCCAGGGTATCTGTTGTAGTTAATCACTGTTTAATATTTCCTCTTTAACCAAAATATAATTTGAATATTCATGCTGGATTACTGTTTTTCCACCTTCTCTTGAGATTTTTTATATTACAGTTGCCCTAAATAATTCCAGCATGGGCTACTGCTAACGAACACCATGTAATCCCAGTCTAAATATGGAGCTAATTAGACATTTGCTCATAGCTTGACTTCCATAAACGATTCCAGGAGCTTTACCTCTAGTACTGTTATGCTTGTGACTACGTGGGAGAAGTGAGTGGACATGCCTTGAAGTGTCAGAATCTCCAGCTATTCTTCAGTGTTTCTATCACAGTGTATCGATTCTAGACCACCTGGGGATAAAAAGGCTTTACGCTATAGAATACAATCTAGACCTTTTTGCTTTCCAAGGCTTTGTCTACACTGCAGGGTTTTTGTGCAAGAAGCTTTTTGTAGAAGGGATCTTCTGCAAAAACTTCTTGGGCAAAAGCGCGCCCACACCTCAAAGTGCATCGGAAAAGCGATATGCTTTTGTGCAAGAGAGCATCCACATTGCATAGACACTCTTGTGCAAGAAAGTCTAGAATGGCATCAGAGCACCTGTGCTTTCTCTGATGGGCTCTTTTTGTGCAAGAAACCGCTGTTGAGGTTCCACACGTACCTTTTTGCACAAGAACTCTTGCACAAAAAGGAATTATTCCTCGTAGAAGAAGGTATACCCTCACCACAAAAAGCTCTGTTCTGTCATTTTATGGTAAATTTTCTTGTACAAAAACGTGCTTGAGGTGTGGTCGCTCTGCAGGTTTTTGTGCAAAAACCCTGTAGTATAGACATAGCCTGAGAGTGCTCTTCTGTTGCAAATATATTTGTATCTACCTCCTACCTCTCATTGCATGATAAAGCAGCAGTGAGTGCAGAAGTTTATATTATTCTGAGGGAGTGAACATTACTAAAAATAACTAAGCTGAGTAAGTTAATTCTAACAAGCTTGGAAGGCATATAAAGCCTCATGCTTCAGGGTTTGAATGAGCCCTTCACACAGGGCAGATGGATTCTCTGCTTCTGCTCTAGAGTTTCTTGCGGCTTTTCTTGATGTAGGTGGCATTGGCCTCCTTTGGAGTTAAGATGATGAACTAGGTGGGTTGCCTGTCTGATGTGGTATGGCAATATACAATTGTGTATAGCAGGAAGTCTGACAAATCAATGGTAATACTGTAAAATAATTAGTATCCATGTGGCTAGAAGTATTTGTCAGAGGAGTATTAGTTAAAGACCCAAGACATCTCTAGCTAGTGTCATCATATATATTACTCCTCTCCATTTGTTGTGCAAGGCTAATATAAAGCCATACAGCTGCTTAGAGATTACTGTAAAATCAAAATGTTGACCTGTTTTGTTCAATAGGGCATTCTTGTATAGCTTAAATACTTCAGGCCCAGGAGCAACTGTATCAGCCAAAGATGATTTCCATGGTACACCTGTTTATAGTGCCTGTTGCCTGAATCCTCAGACATTAAACTTAAATTTTCTAGGAGAAGTAAAGAGGTCACTGGTAAAACTAGTTTCACACCCAACAGTCAGTTTAGCATCTTGAACTATTGCTGTGTATAACTAACAGAGGTGGACTTAAAGTGCAATCATATCAGTGTTTTGTATATAGATTCTGTAGTAATGCTCCACCTGCCTAATATTAGAGAAGACCTTCTAGAGTCTAGTATTTAAGCTGAGCTGTTCATTTTAATCTCAAATCTGTACTTACACAGAAAATGGTTTGGCACTGGCACCAGTGATTTTTTTTTTATTTCTAGAAGTTTTGTCACACTGAAGGAACTTCTTTCCCCCCAAACTGCACTGTTCAGCTGTGAGAGTAGGAGGCTTGACTAGCTTAGCTTGTTTTCATTGTTTTGGGGAGAAAGGAAAAAACCTTTCCACCTCCACCCTGTGAACTACACAGTTCTCTATTTCCAGTACTCCACTTTGAGATTTTACAACTTAAATAATTTTTGTGTATTAAAACACAATGTGCCAGTGTTATAGGACTGCTACATGTGGCATGAGGGCTGGCTAGGATCCTGCCTGCAGGGAGCCTAGTCAGTGACAATCTGTATTTTCTGTTAAGGGGTCCAATCTCTCCCTCTATCTTTGTTACTGCTGTTCTACCAGCCGGCTCTGATTCCATGGTACAGGTAGCTTCCTTCTCTTTCAAGACTCTATAATGCTAACAGCATTTCAATTTGTATTGTGATGAGTTCAGAGAAGGAAATACTGTCAAATCTTTAGCTTAGTGTAAATACAGTGGCTTCTTTCTAGAAAGCTTTGCATTTCAGACCATACAACTCTTCTTTTGCCAGCCCTTTTAAAATCAAACAAGAAGGTAAGGTGGCATTTTCCCCTTTTAAAGAGCTGATAAACTAAGTATTAATACAGCTTAAGCAAATAAGTGTTGTTTTTTAAAAGCCATGATAAAAGGAAGGATTGAGTTACTGTCACAGCAGTTCAATAATTTCTTGCTTTAGGCCTTTAATTGCCTTAGCTATGCAATACAAGTGTACCGTTGTCTTGTGTCTGATAGAAAATAATGTGCAGTGTGATGAGGTCTGACAGCTATGGAAGGGACCATAAATCATTGACAGTATGGAGGCCATGACCTCAGCAGGCCTCCTTCATGCAGCATCATGCAACAAAATATCCTCTATAGTACAAAGCTTATTAAATAGGTAGAAATTTCAGCCTTAATTGTGCTGCAGAATATTAAAACCACCAGCCAGGGCCTGAAGATGAGCAAAAGAGTGTCCTTTCAAGGGTTCAGTTAAAGGCTTCTTGTATAAGCTGTTAGCGCACACAGTTTTCATCTGCTTATTTTACACAGACTGAAGTCTGCCTTAGTGCAAACTTCACTGTATTTTAGAACAGGTATCCTGTCAAACCAGCTGCCTAGAGATATTTTCACTAACTGGCCATATCACCCTCCCCCACCCCTGACAGTATACTATTTTTTAACTAGTGATTTGTTTTTAGCAACCTCGTCCAGGGATTATAGAAAGCCTTTGCTGCTCTAGCTGTCATGAGCTGAAGATAGCTGCAGTTTTTATGTAACCAATGGCATCCCAATTTGGTAACAGGCAGTATCTAATCACAGCAGCTACAAGAGAGCAAGTCAGAGTGCAGAATTGTATCAGGCTTGTGTCCATGTATCATTGTTTCCAAGGTGCAATAAAAGCAGTAATACTGACAGTATAGAGAGAAGCTGACAAGTTGTTCATTGAAATGTCTTGTCTTTAAGGCAAAGCAGCAACATTCAGAGCTGCAGCTTGGGTTGACTCTGAAGACTGTTAATGGTATGTGCTCCGTTCCAGGGGTTACGCTGGCAGTATGGCACTACTAAACTCTTATCTGCTTTGTATGATCAAAACCTCACCGGTTTGGTAGAGCTATGCACAAAAACCTTAAATGGGATTATGTATGATTGTGTATGCAATATGTACTATAGGATGGTCTGATTATATGCCAAATAAACTAGCATTTCATATTTATTGTTGTTGCCCTTAGTCTGGCCTCAAAGAAAAGCAAAATCACATTCCAATCACCCTATAGGCTGATAGTTGGTTAATCCAGTTTACAGGACTCTCTTCTTCACCAGACTACAGCAATAGGATTTAGAGGCAGCAAGACAAAGATATACAGTCTGACTTCATCCTATCCCAAACACATCTTGACATCCTCTACTTTGTTGCAGCAAAACGAATACTTTGCCCCAACATGAGGATGCACTGAATTATCAAGAACTACCTCTAATACAGCTTCAGCATGTATGGAAGGTGGAAAGGACACTTCTCCCCCTCCATGACTATGCAAGCAGCAGCGGCATTTATTCCCTCAAACAATCATTTCAGCTTTTCCCATGTGTGGGCCCCTAAACATTTTTCAAATAAAGATGTAGGCACCTTTGTAAATCTTAGTCTGCTCCTCTCTGGGTTTCAACTTGTCATCCACAGACTCCTACAGTTTTTAGGACTAAAAATGACAGGTTTAGTTCAGCACAAGGAGAAAGTTGAAGAAACAAACCCTCTGTTGCAGCTCAATTCAAGACTAGTGCATTTTTTCCCCCTCATTTTATTTTCATTAGTAATTCCAGTGCTTTGTGATAATACAGTACACTGTGGATAACAAACATGGAGAATGACTCCCAGACATGTGACTATACGTAGATGCTTCTCAGCCAGAGAGCAAACCACCTTATTTAGTATGTGAGAATGTCAGCAGCCTTATGGTTGGTATGCACTCAGATTTTCCTGGTTGGTCCAAAGACTAACACTACTGTCTTTGAGGGCTCACAACCTTCATATGTGTAGAAGATAGTTCTAGATCATACTACTACATTTTCCTGTCTGCAGTTTATGCATTATCCTTGTTTAATACAATGAATTGCTCATTGACTCCTGACTTAGGCTCTGCAAACTCCTTTAAGTTTGCTCTGAATTAAGGATCATAACTGCATCTTAACGTTACTTTCTAGTACAGTATTTTGCATATTGTAGAATTTCATCATTTGGGTTAAATAAGTTTGACATTTAGCATTTACATAACTAGAATCTACATAAGTTGGAATGTTACAGCACAGTAATAGAATCTAGAATTAGCAACAATTGAAATATAAGCTTTAGTTTAAAAAAAAACCCAAAAAACTGAATGGACTGCACTTTGCAGCTCTGCTGAAAAGTGCTGGTGCCAAGATTGTCCTGCTATAAAGGAGCATTAAACTGCCACATATTATGTTTTTGTTCAGCAAGATGCCGTGCTTATGCTTACTGTTTCTGCTAATTGTAAATGTATTCTGTGACTCTTTTCTTTTGCAACTATCTCAAGGGTTTTTTGGCCTAATATTAAAAGGATGAGTTACTAAAGGGAATTTAAAGACAGGACTGGCA